GCCAACAATTAACGTGTTAACACATGCCCGTGTGCTCAAAGCAGCTTTTACCTTAGCCGACTACCTTTATACTATTTCGGGGGAAGGGTTTGTATTGCATTCTGTGATTCCAACAGTCCTAAGCATCATCCGATAAGCCCTAACAGTGGTGGTGAAGGGCATGAGACTTCTTGCACAGACGTGAAAACTGATTCTCAGTGTGAACTTCTGCCTCCCCCACAGATGTCGAGTAAATATACCATTTATCGTGTGAGACGGAGGGCAGCTCCCATGATAGGGAAGGCTGTGCTTTCCTCTGACCAATGATAACTGAAGTCACTGGAGGCAGAGAACGGCAGGGTGAGGATGAGAACCTGGGTCTCTGGTTCACGCCTGCTCTCTTTGCAGCATCCCCAGGGCCTCCCCTGAGAATGAAAGCCACCATGGGTGACAAAGGTCTCACTGCTCTGACACAATAGCTGGCCCCTCTTACCTGTTCCAGGTAACCCCGCCCTGGGGGAGGCCTTTCTCCTTTTGGACATTTTCCTGCGTATTAGGGAGAAAAGACAAACCACAGATCAAATTATCAGGTTAATTGTGCTTTAAAAAACATCAGAGACAATGAGAAAAGTGGTGGGAGGCTGAATGAGGAACTGAAACATGGTGGCCCAGGCTGGCCTTCTCAGGTTGGAGTTTCTGCCCTTTTGCAGGCCACTCCTTTCCGGATCAACTTAAAACACAGCCTTCATCCTGTTACCCCAGCTCTAAGTCTTCAGTGGCTCTCTATCTTCTCCCTTATAAACACCCTTTTCCAAGAACATGAATACTCGGTGATGGCCAAGATGAGTAACTGCCTTGATGGTTCCTGATAAGCCACCAGAAGATTCCTCACCTCCCCTCTCCTACTCACCTCCCTCCCACCCCTGCACACTCTGTCTCACCTCCCTGCCCTGAATCAATCCCACAGCCCAGCTCCAAACACCAACTGCGGTCTGAGCAGGGAAAGGCAGAGAACTGCGGAGGAAATGACCCTTCGATGAGTGCAGCTTTCGCTTCTCCAAGCAGTGAGTGTACTTCTAGACACCTGTATGCTGTGCAATTTCAACTACTGCCATGACGGGTCTTCACCATGCAGCCCTGGGTTTTTTTTTTGTTTTTTTTTTTAACTAATTGTAAGACTGTGGCATTTATCCCTGTTAAATTTCCTCTTGCTGCCTCTACCTATCCCTACCTGCTGCGATTTGGAGTGTTGAGCCTGCCCTCTGGCACATGGCCCACCGTGGCAGCTTTGCTCCATGTACAGCTCTGATAAGACTGTCCACAGCTAGATCGCTGGTAAAGAAGGCATACGGGAATCTAGATGCATCTACATTCTAGGCACCATGCTAGGTGTGGGGCAAACAGGCGCAAATGAAACACGGTCCTTCAACTTCTGTGAGCACAACTGAGTGTATGAACAGCAATGGGATGCCCCAGATGACTATCTGGTTATGTGTCAAGTGCTATGGGATCCCACACATGGAGACCTCTGATCGTTCCTGGGAAGAGAAGAGTGTGCAAGCTATAGAGGAATGTGGCATTTAAGATTTGCGCAAAGCCGTAATCAAAATTCTAAGAATATAAAAGCTGAATGTAGGCATATTCTATGACCCAGCAAGTCTACCCCTCAGAATGTACATTTGACAGAGAAGTCCACCAACAGGCACATGCAGGAATGTTCTTGGGAGCACTATTTGTAAGAGCTCAAACCAGAAAGCACCCAAATACCCACCAGGGGGCGAACGGAGGAGTAGATTGTGGAAGTGTCTCACAGTGGAAAGAGCAATCTACAACTACTCACAATGTGGGTGAATATCACAGATGTAATTTGAGCAAGACAGACTCAAAAGATTATGTTCTGTATAATTCTATTTATATGAAGTACAAAAGCAGGCAAAACATCTACAGTGTAAGGAGTCAGGACAGTGGTCAGTATAGGGGAGGGGGTAGTGACCTGACAGGGACACAAAGAGGCTTTGGGGCTGCTGTCATGTTTGGTTTCCTAATCTGGGTGCAGGCTACATGGGCATGTTCAGTTTGTAAAAACACATAATGCTGTCCACTCAGGATATGTTCAGCTTTCTGTGTCTACGGTAGACTTCAATAAAAAGAAAACACTGAGTATGGCTATTTAGACAGCTACACAGAACACATTTCAGTTACTTCTCTACCATTCGGCCATGAGCTCCTTTAGCTGCGTTATCCATCTTGACGCTCTGCCTTCCTTGGTCCAAGCACATAATAGACACTTGATAAATCTCCAAGAAGCCAAGGTAGAGTGGGTGATTTCTCTCACACTAACTCTTCTGGGTACAGCTAGTGCGGCACGGCATCTTGTATCTTAATGATCACTGCATTTATTTATAAATGCTCTCCGAAGGTCCAAGATCTAATCGAACTAGGAAATGATATAATAATGACCTACTCATGCATTCTAGAACTCAACCTTTCCCTGTTGCTTTTATTTTTTTAATCCACATAATTTTCTGTTGTTCATACATTGGAGAGAAATACGTCATAGTCTGTTGCACCATGGAGCACCCAGCCCAGTGGAATGTCTCATTCACCCTGTTTTCTCCAAGATGTTCTACGTTCAATTATATTCCTGATATAACTGTTGATGCCAGAAGACACAATTCACTCGGCCCTGCCCTCTCAGCTCATCTGAAGAGACTGATGTTCTCTCACTACTTCCTTGGCTGTTCATTCGTCTTCACAGGCAGGAAGCTGGGTGCCAGGCAGGACTGGAGCAGTTCTGCTCTCTCTGCCTCTGGTTAATGTTTTCCTGCCTTGTTTGCAGCTTCCAGAGCGCCTCCCATCTTCTCGAACATTTTCAGTCGTCCACACTCCTCTGTGCCTCTGAGAACAGCCTTTTGTTCCCCAACAAGAGGAATCTGCAGCCTCATCAGCTCTCAACCAACCTCCCACCGCCCTCTAGGCAAAGCCCTGCTCAGAAAGGGAGCAGAAAGAAGAGGGTTGGAGGGGGCCTGGAGGTGATCACCTGGATGGGGACAGGCAGGGGAACCGTACACAGAGTTCAGAACAGGCCAGTGGGCCCACGGGGGCGGCGTGGGGTGGGGAGGGGTGACCTTGGGCCTCTCTGGGCCCCATGACCTCACGGTGAGTAGGAGCTGGACTAGAGGATTCTGAGTCCTTTCTCATCCTAAATATCCCACACCCTAATTATGACCCTAAGCATTTATATATTGAACAAAATTGTACTGACACTTGGTCTCTGGGAGGCGAAGCAGTAAGAGATCTTTTTTCTTTTCTTTTCTGCATTTTGCTAATAGTTTATACTAAGTTTGCACTACTAATGTTTTTGTGTGTGTTCACAAACACAAAAAGCCTATGATTACAGCAAGAAAATGGAAAAATTTTTTTTTAAAAAAAAGAGGAAACTGAAATAAGTTTTAAAAGTAAAGGCAGAGGAGAAAGAAAGGGCCAACCGGAGGCCCCAAATCCGACTGAAGCATAGAAGCCCTGGAGGGACAGCGTTAACTGCGGGGTTTCCCCAATGGCCAGGGTGAAGTCTTTGTAAACTCTTCTGGCGCCATCTGCTGGTCATCCCAGAAGCAACTGCTTAATTTGGTTCCCAAAAGGGCTTTGAAGGAATCTAGGGAACGCGGATGGATTCACACTCAGGATAAAGATCACATTCTATTCACAGGCAAATCTCTCTCCACACTCACCTCCAGAATTCACTTTTGATTTTGCATTGCAGTAATGATCGTGACAGGGACACCTGGGCAAGTGCCTTCATTATAAGCAATGGTCACCCAATACCTACGCACAGTCCCTCAGGCCAGGAGTGACTGAGTCTCCGGCTCTCCTCCTCGCTATGCTGGGGCGTCATGTAGTGAGGGGTGCACCCTGAGGAAACCCACTCTCAGCCCTCACCGTCTTGATTTCGTCTTCGTCTGTCTCTGTCCCCCGGGTTTCCGTAGATCTTCAATTCGTTGGCCTTTGGACTAACTCAGTGGTTCAAACATTCCCACGTGGCCCCGAGCAGGCCAAAGTGCTGGCAGGTCCTCTCATTTGTCCTTCCACCCAACATTAGCCCTGCTTTCCCACCTGCGCAATGCAAGCGTGGCCCCACACTCCCTCTGGGTCCGTCCTTCTGGGTCCCGGCTGCGGGCTCGTGGTCCAGCGAACACTCGCCCTCTTCCCGAGCCGACCCTTCTCACAGAGCATGTCCAGCAAAGGCCCCTTTGCTGTCTGAGGCTGGTCTCCAGGTGCAGGCCAGTATGTATACCCAGCAGGAATTGTTTAAACCACGCTCTGTTGTAGATGCTGGTGGGAAAGCATTTTCTTTCCATCACTTCTAATTTCAATTCTAAAGAGTACCTCTCGAAATGTCAATCTTAAAAACAGCCCTAACCCGACTCTTGGGACAGATGCATCCATCCCTCTGTCCAGCTGTGACTTTGTGATATAATAAGAAATATATATTTGATCTTTGTCCCCAGTTCCTGCCACAGAGCTTCTAAAACCTTGTAACTTCCTGAGTGATGGGGGTGACAGGAGCAGCTTTTGTTGTAATATTTGGGTTTTTGTCCCCAGTTCCTGGCACAGAGGAGTTTGGAGAGCTTCTGGGTTGGTGAACACAGCCACATGTGGGGATGGTGGTGCACCCAAATGCCGCGAGGACAGAAGCTCCTGCACTTGGGACATCTCCAGACCTCCCACCATGTCCCTCTTCACCTGGCTGTTCATTTATATCCTTTATAATAAACCAGTAATAGTAAGCTAACATTTTTTTAAATAAATTTCAAAGGCACACTTTAAGTCATCTGAACTTCAGCAAGATCTTCACGTGGTGTTTATTAGCAAAGAGTGATGAGAAGGTCCATCCTTCTCAAGGCAAAGGAGTGCCCGGGAACCCCTGATTGGTCCTGCCCGGGAGGGAAGGGCTGCCATATTTGGAGAGCAGCAGGAATGCACCTCCCCCGGCAGCTCCTACATAGCTGGGCAGGCCTGGCTGCTTAGAAGGTGTGCTGGAGGACAGCGTGGACCGTGGATCCAGAGGCACACTCCCAGAGAGAGCCCGAGGTACGTGGGGGTCAGAGTTCGCCCGGGGATCCCATTTCTGTGGTCGGGGTTGCGCATTTCTCATCAGACTGCAAACAGTGCAGTGATTTCTTTAATCACACTTCCTGGTATGTGTCCCAAGTTGGGGGACCCATGTGAGAATGTTGGGGCATCACTGGTGTTGCATGTCTATGTTTTGGGGCTACAATAAAATGCTATTTTAGAGTTGGCTGGTGGGGATTTTCTTTTGCTTTTAAGCCCTTGCCTATGAAGACTAATTTCTTTCTCAAAATCTCCATGCTGTTATTGTTTTAATTTGACACACCCATAGTTTATGCTATTATTCTTATTTAAGATTTCTCCTACCAAGGAGTGTAGGCTGATGACATGGGGTCTGGCCCCCGTTTAGGAGATTAATGAATGTTTGTTTCACACTTGGATCTCTTTGGAGGAGGCTGGTCTGAGCTCATGTGATCGGGGGCAGTGAGGAGTGGGATTCCGGAAGCCTGGGGGCTCATGCCCACCCTGGGGCAGAGGCCAGACGATGCCTACAAGTAAAGAAAGGTCAGCAGAGGCCTCCTTGCGAGTGTCCAGAGGAGACTGGATGGAACTTAGGTTGCGTTTTGCCTTTTTTCTACATAAGGACCAGTGTGACACCAGAGCCGAAAATTTAACAGAGGCATACTCATCACTTTTAGGAATACTGCAGGGAGGGTGTGTCGGGGGCTAAGCGAGCTACCTTCTCCACCTCTCCAGCCCTGGCACTGATGGACTCACGGTAAATCTTCATCTAGGAGACAGCCTGAGCATGCTCCACTATAGTAACTCATCCTGAATCCCTGAGCCACACGGACAAAGGTCCAGGTGCTGGAATGCCCTGAACGGTTGACCTTGGGAGGTGGATTTCTACAATAGCTATTGTAGTTTCAGGAGCCAGATGACAAAACTACCGGATTGGGGGGATGTATGTGGGGTGATATTCCCTGATGTCATCAGCAGCCCTTCAGATGCCCTGGGCCACCTTGACCCAGGACCCTCGGTGCTCCCCCAGGCCCTCCCGTCCTCCCCGTCATCTCATGTCCTCTGAAATTCCTCACGGGCCCTGCTCTTTGCTCAGCTTAGGCGCCATCAGGGCTACCCTTCATGCCCAATGAGTCAAAAGCACAAAATGTGAGCACCAGCCCCTCCTGCAGCCCAGAAGGGCATGAAGCACAGCGAGTGGGCACAGGCAGAGCTGGATTCAAATCTGCCACCCGCTATTGTGCGGCCTTGGGTAAATTACTTGCCCTCTCTAAATCCCAGAACAACTTTTAGAAAATGGGGATAATAATGTGCCCACCCCCATGTGAGAATTGTTGGACAATGTCAGGGCTGATGCATAATAAGTGTGCAGTAGGAAGCTAGTTGGGGGAGGAAGGTGGGGTCACGCTGTCCCCAGGGGTAAGATTAGAAGGGATACCTACAACACATCTTGACCCCTTAACCTAGCGGGAAGCAGGAGCCCCCTGACTGCACTTCCGTCTCCTCTCCCCCGCCATCCTCCTCTGTCTCTCTCATTACCATAAAGCCCTTTACGCTCCGCAGCCAGCGACTTTCTTAGAACAGATAGCAGAATGTGCCTGAGACAGTCCAGCTTAGAGCAATAGAGAACAAAGAGGGAAGAGCAAAAGTACAGCCTATGCCCAGAAGCCTCCGCTTCCAATTCTTCTACTGTATTTTCCTCCCAGGGACCCCTTGATTTGAAAGTACCAAAGAAAACCTATGTGTATTAAGTCATTACTCATTTATTTTCCCATGCATATTCAAAGGCTTTATAATTGCCAGTTGCAGCTTCTTATCTGTCTGAGAAAACCAGGATCACCGCCCTGAATGGATATAATTCCAGGCAAAAGCAAAAAACTTGGTGCTGACTTAACCCTGTGGAGCCCAAGCACGGGAAACAATTAGGCTTCTGGAAAAATGTAAATGGTGCAAGGATGCCATTCCTGCTTACAATCCCCTACACAGAGGGGGGCAGGGGAGACGGGACCCCCGCTGGGGAAGTTAACTGCCCCGGCCTTTGCTGTTGCAGATTCTGCCACAATGAGGAAGCACCTGGCTGGATGCTGGTTGGCCATTGTCTGTGTCCTGCTCTTCAGCCAGCTCTCCGCTGTCAAGGCGAGAGGCATAAAGCACAGAATCAAATGGAACCGGAAGGCCTTGCCAAGTACGTCCAAGGTCACCGAGGCCCACACGGCGGAGATCCGCCCGGGGGCCTTCATCAGGCAGGGCCGAAAGCTCAACATCGACTTCGGCGCCGAGGGCAACAGGTACTACGAGGCCAACTACTGGCAGTTCCCTGACGAGATCCACTACAACGGCTGCTCCGAGGCCAACGTGACCAAGGAGAAGTTTGTCATCAGCTGCATCAACGCTACCCAGGCAGAGAACCAGGAGGAGCTGTCCCGAGAGAAGCAGGACGACAAGCTTCACCAGCGGATCCTGTGGCGGCTGATCCGGGAGCTCTGCTCCGTCAAGCACTGCGATTTCTGGTTGGACAGCGGAGCGGGACTCCGGGTCGCCGTGGACCAGCCTGTGTTGCTCTGCCTGCCGGTTTTCACTTGGTTTATCGTGAAATAAGCTTGCAGGCAGGCTGGCAGCCACAGAGCTGAGCCAGGCCAGTTATCCCAGTTCTCTCCCCAGCCCCAAGCCACACCTGTTCTGAAGGTACCAAAGAGCAGTGATGCTGCGGCGCTTCAAACAGCGCGCCCAAGTGTTCACTCTGGTATTTGTATTTGATAAATGCTTGTGTATCCATCCCTCCAGCCTTGTCCCCACAGTGGCTTGTCCATCACTGCATTCTCAGCGCCCGGTGGAGTGTCTGGCACACCATATTATGCAGTAAATGTTTGGTGAATAGGTAAAAGAATGCACCAGGGACTGTGCCAAGCACTTCACAGTACTTCCCAACAACTCTCAGAGGTAGGTGTTATTCCCGTTTTATAGATGAGTAAACTGAGGCTCCGAGAGATACAGCAGCTCAAAAGCAGCAAAGCCGGAATTTAACCCTGGCTTGTCTAACCCCAGATTTTCCTCTCTGGGCAGTCCCAGAGCCGTCTGTGATCCCCTATGGCACGCAAGGCCCGAATCCAAACACATATCTCTAACGAAACTGGGGAAACTCCACTTTTAGAAATCTGAAAACAGCTGAGCTGACGGCCATGTATTTCAATACGTTGTTACATGGAGGTTTCATTTAATTCCTCTAATTAAACTAAGATATAATAAAAGAATTAAACTAACATAGAAATAAAGCTAGACAAAGTTCCAGAAATCATCTTGTAAGGCAGTATTGCCACGCTGACTCCCAGAGCAGACTAGATCTAGAGCGGGATGTGTCTGTGGCACAAAGATTTTTTTCACAAGAAGGATAAATGTTTGCTGTTCCCATCTCTGAAATAGTCCGTGTATTTAAGAAAATATTTTTAAATGACATGTTTGCTTTCTAATGTTCCCCTAACCCTATGTGCATGTTTTTCTGCACATGCCTATGGGCATCTTCAAATATACTCCCTTCACACAGGGACTCCACGACAGTCTCTAGCCGTTCTCTTACCCCCACTTTGGCAAGGGGCCATCATTTCTGTGAACCACTTATCACTGCAAAAAAAAATTCCTCACCAAAAAAATTGAAAAGAAACTATATCTTCAGGGAGACCCAATACAGAATTCATCCATGCCATAAGCAAGAGTAGATACACAACTTATCTACTCATTATTAGTTAGAATATATATTACAAGATATTATTAGTTAATAATAGTTTAAAATATATATTACAAAATATGAATACAATTTAAATTAAAATAATGAATCTAATGCTCTAAGATGCCCCCACAGGCCCTTTAGGGTACCCTCAGAGTCTCCCAGGAGTTGTTGAGCCATATTTGGAGACAACAGCTGATGAATATTATCAATTTTCCTTTAAAGACAGTCTGTAAGGGAAAACAAAGTGTATTGTCAGACAGTTTATCCTAAGTATTTTAGAACATGAATGTTGATAACGGTACCTCTTGTTCTGAGCCTCCACTGTTATCAGCGTTCTTCACAAGGATACATTTGGAAGGTTTTAACATAGAAAGCGGGTGGAGGACTTGGGGGCGGGCAGCCCAGGGGAGCAGCCTTCTGCTGGGTACACGGAGACACCGCCCTGGGCTGATACAGCACAGCGTGGGAAGAAGCCAGAGGCAGCTTTGGGTTTTGTGTTATCAGCCCTGCACTCACCTGCTTTTACAATCCTGTTGAATTCTAGATCAGAAAGCAAGATAAAAGAACAGAACATGTAGAGGTTATTTCTTGCATGTCAATTTTTTTTTTTCTAAATAACAACAATAGCAATAAACACAGAAAGAACAAGTACTTATAGGCTGATGTTGAAAGTTCAAGTCCCGGCTCTCCTGAGTTTAATTACAGGGGCACGCATAGCCACGTAAGCAAAATGACTTCATTTCTTAGCTGAGAACACTTAGGCCATGATGTAATACATTTTCTATAATTGCTGTCTTTTCTCATTTTGTTAATAGTTCCCGAAACCAGATTTAAGTGGGGCAGGAGGTGAATTTGGACATGGTGATTCAAATGCAACCTTTTTTTATGAAGCTTTTAATTGGAACTGTCTGTGCTTGATCATCCTTGCTCATGTTTATGAATTATGAGGTCAAGTCAAGGCTTTGTGAGTCTGGTTTTTCACTTTAGCAAAGGGTGGTCGAGTGCCTGCTATGTGCAAGACATTATGAGGGGCTTCTGATTTATTCTTAGAAGAGTCATTTTAAATGTGAATAATTTCACCAACCATCACTTTTCTTGTTCCTTCTGAGTGTTGACTTTTTAAAATATGTTTATTGTAAAAGTGACATTAAAACTACAGCAGAAATCCAAACAAAACGTTGCCCGTGATCCCAACATCTGATTAAATCTGTGTTTTTACTTTACCCTATAATCTCCTAGTCCTTACCCATTTGCATATAAAAATGTACATATTTGCAATAATAATATAGGTGAGCTTTTATATTCTAAATTTTCCTTAACTTTATTCTATGCTTTTTTCATTTTCCTGTGATATTTGTGTTCTTGCCTCTCCTCTACCTTCCCCAACTCACCCCCTCCTTCCTCCTGAGATGTAGCCTCCATACTTTCCCTGTGGTCAGATATATAAGGGAGAGGTTTTTGTTTGAGTACTCCTTTTAAAAAATACAATAATCATATCACATTTATTCTTCTGCAATTTGCCTCTCTAACTTACCACTGCATCACGAACCTCTCTACACTTCAACAGCCAGCTAGTTAGTGAACTTGTCCTTTTAGACAGCTGTGTAATATTCCACAGCACAGATGGACACTGATTGATTTAATCATTTCCTTGTTGATAGACCTTCGGGTTGTTTCGTTTTTCACCACTGCAAACAATAAACATCCTTGTACATACAAGCTTGCAATCTGTTACTTTTATTTCTATGCAATAGATTTACACATGCAGAATTTGTGAAACAAAACCGTGTGTAATGTAAATTTTTCTAGATGTAACTGGATTATGTTCCCACACAGCTGGAGCAATTCCAGTTCCCACGTGCAGTGTATGGAGTTAACTTGTAAGAGTTTCTATGTCGTTTAAGCACGAGAAGGCACCTTTTCTACAAACACTGCTTGAGCACCTTCTCCCCTTTGCAGACGACACACCTAAAGCTTCCCAAGTAACTTCTGACCATAAGAACCATTTGAAAATCCTAAAACTGTTGGCAATTTCCATTCTAAACCTGTTCCATGGCCCAAAATATCTGGACGAGAAGCCTGAAAAGAAGGTGGTGTGTGTGTGGGCTTCCTGCCCAGAGTGTGGTGTGTTTGCGCAACTCCACACTGCTGAACGGCCAGGGGAGGCATAGGGTAAGGTTTTTAGTAAAATTACACTTTAGTAAAAATTAGTAAAATTTTTAGTAAAATTATACATGCAAGTATCTGCATTCTAACGACAGCGCCCTCTAGGTCATAAAGACCAAAAGGAGCAGGCACCAAGCACACAGTTAAAGTGGCCCACGCTGATCCTCCCCTCCGAGCTCAGGCAGACAACCAGCATCTCCCTGAAGCTCCTCGAACCCCACCTTGCTTAGAATGTGCCTGGCAACATTTAGAAACCCCACCCTCTGGTCTTAACGAGGTGTGTCCCAAGTGGTGGCCATGAGTTTGTCTTGAGCTGCCCACATTCTCTACAAGCTTTCTTTTTTTTTTTTTTAAAGATTTTATTTATTTTATTTTTTCCCCCCAAAGCCCCAGCAGACAGCTGTACGTCATAGCTGCACATCCCTCCAGTTGCTGCATGTGGGACTCGGCCCCAGGATGGACGGAGAAGTGGTGCCTCGATGCGCACCCGGGATCCGAACCCGGGCCACCAGCATTGCAGCGCGCGCACTTAACCACCAAGCCACAGGGCCGGCCCTCTACAAGCTTTCTGATAACAAGTGACGGGCATTGGGTCAGGGACCCCAGCCCTACTGCAGTTTGGTCATGCCCTTCATCTCTACCCAACACTTTTGCTTCATGTGCTGTATATGGCTAGACAGGGACGCCCTAAGATGCCCACGTGCTGCTGCGTGGCACCTTCTGGAGTCTGCCAAGGTCTCAGCTGAAACGCTGACAGTGGGGCCCGTGTGCCCACGTGCAGGCAGTGAGAACACGCTGGCAGCCCACACACACCGGGCAGGTGATCGAGACTTACATAGACGTGGTGTTGTGGCAAGTTTCCACTCCCCAGGTGAAAGCTCAGAGGCTGCTCTGTTGAAGAGCAAACTTCCAGCAAACCCGGCTCAAGCCAGTGGTGCCGTGTTAGCTCTCTCTGCCCCAAGGCCGCACAGTCAGACACAGCACAGGCTCTGGTCCTCACTGCTGGCGGAAGACCCCATTTCAGTTGGGCACCAGCTTCCCTGGTGGAAGAGAAGGAAGCAAACTCCCATGCCACTGGCAATGATAGGCACCTGCAAAATAGGCATAAGTCAGACACTCCTTGCAAAATGGGACTTAGGTACTATGTCTTGGTAGTGGGCCCATTCCAGCCCATTGAAAGCCTGCTCCAGAAAAACAGCTGTTTCCCTTGGCAAATAGGAGCCTTCACCTGGGCCCACGGGAGGCCTCAGACTGAAATCGGTCCCACGCGCTGACCACCCTCCTTCTAAAGGGACCTTCCTGGTTGCTGCATGCAGCCCAGAGCTGACCCCCAAAAAGAGCTTATCCTCCAATACTTGAGTGTCACTGTGTCCTCAAGATGCTTCCTTCTATGCTGGTCTGAAGTTCTTATCTCCATCCTCTCACCCACCCAGTCCGTCCTTGGAATTCCCAGATCTTATTTTAATCTTTTTGTGGGAAAGCATTGCCTTCTTCAACAATACAGATTGTTTTACCTCCAACAGGCTTGAATATAAATTGTGGAAGGAAATTGGCAGAAGGCCAGAGGGGAACTCGAGGAAGCTGGAAACAAGTCACGGCCAGAGGTCCTAACACAGCTGGTCTCCCTGGATGGAGGGAGGGGGGCAAGGGTGGGAAGTTATGAGAGGAGGGGGCCAGGAGAAGACCATCCATGGATAGAATTATGCACTCAGGCTCATCAGAGGTGACATCAGCTTCCAATAGGGTGGGGTGTTATGCCCCCAGAGCTCTGGGCTCAAGAAACAATGTTCAACGCCAAGGAGAGGGATTTTCAAGGACTAAGCAGAGGGAAGGATCCAGGGTTGGGACTTGGTTAGGGGAGACCCATATCAATTGTGTTGTACTTGAATTTCCAAATCCATAATTAAGGTCTCTAATTTTGTGTGTGTGTGTGTGAGGAAGATCAGCCCTGAGCTAACATCCATGCCAATCCTCTTCTTTTTGCTGAGGAAGACTGGCCCTGGGCTAACATCCGTGCCCATCTTCCTCTGCTTTATGTGGGACGCTGCCACAGGATGGCTCAACAAGCAGTGCATCGGTGCACACCGGGGATCTGAACCTGTGAACCCCAGCCACCGAAGCACAGCGCGCCAACTTAACTGCTACACCACCAGGCCAGCCCCTAAGGTTTCTAATTTTTTTAGCTAGCTGTTTTGACTCAGGGCTACATAGCAATCAAGAACAAAATGAAGGAGCTTATGGCATCTGCAATTTTGTGATTGATAAGAAATACATATTTGGTCATTCAGGTAACCGAAGTATATTTTTCATATATATTTGGTCTTTACCCACAGTTCCTGGCTCACAGCTCACAAACTCTTGGAATTTCCTGAGTGATAGAAGCATCTTTTATTATAATATTTGGTCTCTTGTCTTCAGTTTCTGAAATTGCTTCAGAGCCATAAAGGTGAAATGGGTGTCTTGTTATTCACAAGCCCCTTTC